TCGCCTGCAAGGAGACACAGAGAGAGAGAGAGAGAGAGAGAGAGAGGGTTAATAGTTGTTACCCAGTACATGGTTCATACAGGACTGAACAAATTTTCAAGGACTTTTCAAGGACCTTTCAAGAACATTTTATCGGAAATTCAAGGACATTTTATTGGACATTTTATCGGAAATCATACACAGAACAAAAACACACCCGGATTAATTTAATAATAACCCCATTCTTAATCACTGTCACCTCTAAAACTTACCTGGATCACATTAATAAACCCTTCTAAACACGGTCACTTCTACAACATACCTTGATTTACTGACTAATTTTACTGACTTACTGTAATTTGTGATCATTTAACTGTCCATCGTGTCTATAGCTTTTTAAGCTCATTTAACGCAATTTTTATTGAGGTTTGCACAATATTGATGGTACAAAATTTATTTTTATTACAGGCAAGGATTCTATCTAGAAATTCAAGGACATTTTCATGAAATTCAAGGACTTTTCAAGCACAAAATCAACATTTACTAAATTCAAGGACATTTTCATGAAATTCAAGGACTTTTCAAGCACAAAATCAACATTTACTAAATTCAAGTACTTTTTAAGGACTACCCTCAAATTCAAGGACTTTTCAAGGACTGTGTGAACCATGCAGTAGTAGCATCAACCGCCCTCATACACATGGCCCGCAGTATGAGTACTTACACGTCACACGTGACTGTTAAACTGTAAACCTCAGGGGTCGAAATAAGCGAAGGTCCGATGGTCCGGGGCCATCAAATAATCAGGAGGACCATTGAATATTTTGGTCCCATTTTATGGTAAATTTCTTGCACGCCGCATTACTTTTAGAGAACAATTTGAAATTGAGGAGGACCATCTAAAATTGAGGAGGACCATCTAAATTTCAAACTAGATGGTCCTGTGGACCATCCCTTTTCTCTCTCCTTATTTCTACCCCTGAACCTATAGTGCTGATCACAACCACACACCTCAACCTGACAATGAAGCCGCTGCTCCTAAGACAGGACTCAGGTTTCACCGAGGCACTGTTGATGCCTCCTTACTTGCCGTTGTGGATATTTGCCTACGTTACTGATATGCCTCTGTCAGTGCATCTCTCATACATCCCTCATCACATATGTATCACTCTCTGTCCCGCCTTAAAAGTGTCGATTAAAAAGCAAGTGTCGTTGCTTATAAGCATTTTTTCTTCGTGGGCCACACTTGCAGTTAAAAGTGTTAACTAAAAAATAAGTGTACCTTGATGTGCATTCTCCTTTGGAGGGGATATTTGACCAGGATGCCGCACCCCCCCCAACCTGCCTCTGCCACCCTTATAAAACTGCTGATTAAACACTAGAATTAAAGCAGTGCCCTAAATAAATTAATTCGATGCAAGGATAACCCTAACTGTAAGTTGTAACACCAATTTTTGTAACCCTACCCTGATCCTAACCACAGTCCTCTAACTAGATTTGACAGCTTAACACTACATCAACACCTGCCAACCCACATTAGGCGAGAAGTACCCTGCACTCGCTTGTTAAGCTAACCGCTACTCGGTGGGCCAACGGCAAAGACGACTGAAACCTTGTGAGAAGATGAGATACTTCCGACGATTTTGCTTCGGGGCAGCGAAAAAAAGTGGGTAAAGCGTCCGGCCGAAATCCGACGACATTTTCGCAGACTGAATTTAATTACGCTCGCGGCGCCAGGCAAGCCCCTTTTACCGTGAGCCGAAAAAAAGATGGCGGACAATCGACCGGTGCGTCAGTGCATCGTCGGCACCTGTGACAGGGCTGTGATTTGTTATGCCGCTGATTGCCCGCAGGAGCGACGCAGCCGCGAGTGTTAGCTTGGATGCTAACGAGGAGCATACCTGTGATTAGTCCGTTGATAGCGACGCAGCACAAACGCCGTGCTGTTTTGATGTTAGCAAATTGCGCATTTTAATGACAGCGTCCTCGACATTTCATTTAATTTAAATCAACGCCCCCCCCCGGTGTTATGCCGTATGACTCGAATCCGAGCT